ATTGAGATATTGACTTTTGTTACCTAATGATAATTAACCCTAAATATGCAAAGGTTTTTCTTTCTGGTTGAAATTATGTTCACTGAAACTTTTCCAAGATGCCAATAGCAGTTTGGGTAAAATAGCAAAAAATAATATTTGTATTTTAGAAATCAATTATACATATAAAAACATTCTGGACATAATAATTATAAATATCTATTCCAAAAATATCTAATAGCAAAAAATGATTCTGAAAATGACTATTCAAATATCTATCTAACTAAATTGCGAATATCTAAAATTTACAAGTCTAGGAATGACCCCCTATATTCTAAATATCTTTTACCTAGTTTAGTGATTGTGAATAACCTCCAGTAATTTGTTGTTAGGACTATCTATGGCTTCAGCTAGTGATGCTGAGCAGGGCATCTACTTTATAATGCAACTGGCTGTAATTGCCCTATACTTTTGCGGCATTCACTATCAACAGTATTCTATTGTACTAGCTGCAGCGTAGTGCAACTGTAATATCTTATGCTGGTTCGGTTAAGCATTTAGTGTGGTAGAGTCAGGAGAAGGACCCCGCTGGCTTGCAATTTGTGCCTGTAGATTGGCTGCGCACATTTCTGCCGAATCGCCTGATCGATTAAGACCGCATTAAATCTAAGGTTGACCTCACCACTGATCTGGATTCGCTTTTTTCGCTAGCAGTTTCGCTGGCTGGTCTCTTTATCTCCATCACCTCCTGTCCTTTCGAATTCACTGTCGCAGCTGCAGCTGTTTGAATAAACAATTTCCTTGCATAATGACACTGTGCCGGCTGCAGACGCTGCTTCGTTTACCTGTCCACCGACGCCAACCACTCGCGGTCAAGCTGCTGAAGCGGACACTGATCCAACCGTCGTTTAATTACAAATATATCCGGGACAATGCAGACGAGCTGCTGGAGAATGCCAAGCAGCGCAACGTACATGACGCACAGCCTCACCGAGTAGGCATTCTGTATGACGAGTTTCGGGATATAATGTCGCAGATCAACGAGCGCCGCAGCGAACTCAATGTCCTATCCAAACAGCTGGCACAGCAAGCCAAGTACAAGGGGCTGCAGGTCAACGCTGAGGAGCACAGGGCGATGATGAGCGATCTGCGGAGTCAGGCTAAATCGTGCAAAGCTCTAGTCCAGGAGCTGGAGCGCAAAGTCAGTAGCGTCGAGGCACAGTTGATGCATGAAGCTGCAAAAATCCCAAACCTGACACATCCGGACACACCAGTGGGTGGCGAATCGAATGCGCGAACAGTCAGAATCGAAGGTTTGCTACACACGGTTGACCGGATACCTAACAACCCAAGCGATCTGTCACATCTGTCCAGTGTCGAGTTCCGCGATCACTACGATTTGGTACGCGACCTTGATATTGTCGACATGCAGGCTGGAGCGCAGGTAGCTGGCAGCAGATTCCACTACTGGAAGGGAGCTGGGGCGCTGCTTGAGCTAGCACTGGTGCAGTATGCAATGACTAGAGCGAGCGCAGCAGGATTCATTCCGCATATCACTCCTGATGTCGCACGCAGCAGCATTGTTGACGCATGCGGGTTCCGGCCGCGCTCTAGTGCCGAGGAGCTGGAGCTGGACAATGCGCTCAGTGGCGATCTCAAGGCTAAGGCTAACAGCCAGCCATTGGGCGAGGCTAGCCAGATCTACCGGGCCATCCCGGTTGCTGAGGAATCGCGCAACGACGATAATAATGGCTCCGACCCACTGTGTCTGGTTGCTACGGCAGAGATTCCGCTGGTGGCAATGAAGCAGAAACAGATCCTTGATGGGGCAACACTTCCATACGCAGTGGCCGGACTCAGCCATTGCTTCCGTGCCGAGGCCGGTGCGCGCGGACGCGACACCCGCGGAATCTACCGGCTGCACCAGTTCACAAAGGTCGAGCTGGTATCGCTCGCGTTGCCAGAGCAGAGCCAGACCGAACTGGAGCGCCTGGTGGGCTTCCAGACAGCACTGTACCGAGATCTGGGACTGACGTTCCGCATCTTGCAGATGCCTACGCATGAGCTGGGCGCCAGTGCATTCCAAAAGTTTGACATTGAGGCGTGGATGCCTGGACGCAAGGCGTGGGGGGAAATCTCGAGCGCATCGAACTGCACCGATTACCAAGCGAGACGGCTCGGCATTCGTGCTCGTGTGGCTGGCGGGGATGGTGGGCCCCCGGTGTTTGTCCATACGCTGAACGCGACGGCGATTGCTGTACCGCGTTTGGCTGTGGCACTGCTCGAGTCGTTCCAGCGTCCGGGAGGCGAAGTGGTTGTGCCGCAGGTGCTCCGGCCGTGGATGATGGGCATGGATGTGCTCAGGCGGCCGGCTAGCAGCTGATATTAGCAGGGCAGCTAGCAGTTCCTTTTTGGCGCACGCATGTGTAGCCTGCAGCCCAGTGCAGCATGCAGCACATATTGGCAATGCACGGACATGCGCGACATGCACAGCCCATGGCATCCGTGTCACCGAGTGGGAGCCGAAAATTTAATCATCCGGCTTCCTGCCAGGTCCCCTCAATGAGGAGTTTTGTCGGACAAGGGAGAGGCGGTTCGGTTTAAATATGCGCTCATCCAGCCCAGTCGCCTGGCCCCAATTGACTTTTTCTCCTCAACTTTAATCTCTGCTCTTCTGCACTAGTGCTGGTAGCTTTTTGGTTTTCGCATATTAATTGACGCCACCCTTCCAGCCAATAATGCCAGTGAGCTCACCAATCGCCAATGTCGCGATTCCAGACCAGGACATCACATCGTACTTCTTCGAGCAGGCACAGCGCCGGGTAGACCGGCTGGGCACGCAGGGCTGCACAGAGCCTGCAATTGTCACCGACGCACAGACCAAAGCGACGCTGCGCTTCTCTGATATCAAGTGCCAGGCACAGCGAATCGCTGGATTTCTCCGGTCGCTTGGGTTCGGCGGACCGGCTCAGGGCAGTAATCTACCTGATGGGCTCAACGACGTCGCTGCAGTGCTCGCGCCCAACGACATTGCATTTAGCGCCATCCACTTTGGCACGCTGATTGCAGGCGGCACATACATGGCCGTCAACCCCCAGCAGAGTGTGCAGGCCCTGGCACACCAGCTCAAAGACGTTGACGCGCGTGTTGTGTTCACTACAGCCCACCTGCTCCCGGTTCTGCAGCAGGTATGTGACGCAGCAGGCCTGGACATTCCCACATCCAACATTGTTCTTATCCAGGGCTGCAGCGACGGATTCACAACGCTGGAAACGGCCATTGATGGAGCTGCTGCCATTGAGTCCCACCGAGTCACCAGTCCAGAAGAGCTTAACCGGGTTGCACTAATCGTATACTCGTCGGGAACGACCGGCAAAGCCAAGGGCATCATGCTAACGCATCGCAACATCGTATCCATGTACGTCATGGTGGGCGGGTACTCTGCGCGCAGCCACGCGCATGGCGACAGCGACTCTGCTGCCAGTGTTCAACCACAGAGTAATGTTTTGTCAGCCTTGCCGCTGTACTTCCTGTATGGCCATTGTGTGCTGTGCTACCAACCGCTGACCAGCGGCGACCTGATCGTACAAATGGCTGGGTTTGAGCTCGACCCGTACCTTGCAGCCATTGACTCATACAAGATCAATCGGCTGAGCCTGACGCCGGCAGTTTTATACGACATCGCAGCAGGGATTACAAAGATGGGTAGCATTGCACAGTCAGCAGCAACTGGAAACAGGTACGACATTGGCTCTGTCAGGATGGTCGGGTGTGGCGGGGCGTCGCTTCCGCATGCGCTGAAGAAGTCGTACTCGCAGCTCCTCAATGGGTCGCCGATTATCCAGGGCTATGGCATGGCCGAGTCGACGTCGATAATCGCCGGCAGTTCCTGGGCCACGCCGTGTGAGGGTGCTGTTGGAGTGCTGTATCCGAACAGCTCAGCCATGGTCATTGGCACTGACGGACAGGAAACTGGTGGGTTTGGTGAGCTGTGTGTGAGTGGACCCCATGTGATGCATGGGTACGTCAATACTGCCACGTCACCAGTTGCCAGCGGCTTTTTGCGCACAGGCGACTATGCACGCGTGAGCACCGATGGCCATGTGTTTTTGCGTGGACGAATTGCCGACATAGTGTATACAGCAGAGGGAGCCGTGGTTCCTACCGATGTGGAGAATGCTCTGGCCAACTGCTCGCTGGTCAGGGATTGCGCTGTCAAGGGCGAGGGCCCGAAGGGTTCGGCGATGCCCGTCGCCTATATCGTGCCCAGGGAGGCTGCTGCTAGCGACAATACGCTGCAGCAGATATCCCAGTGGGCCAAGACGCACGCAGGAGTCGCCGTCGAGTGCAGAAGCGGTCGAGGCTATCCCGAAAAGCCCTGCAGGAAAGGTGCTCCGCTATTTGCTGGGCCAGGCAAGTGCGCAGTAAAGCACCGCCAAGAGAGCTAGAGTTCGAGAACCAACTTCGCTGTCTTGGCTGTGCCGGTTGTGTGGCCAGAAATAAGCACTTACTGCTGGCTGGAAGGCAGGGCCAGCAGCAGGGTTGCGTGCCTCCGCATCCTCTCCAGGCGTCTAGCAGTGCACGTTACCTCTTCCCACCTCATTGCCCGCCTTTTTGCTAGTATACAGCTTCACTTTGGAATTCACCATTTTCGTACTCTCATTTCTGTGTGCATGGCCCGTGTAGAGACCGCAACCTGTATGCAAGGGACGCCAGACTCGCTGGGCCACTGTGCCGGGCTTGCCAAGAGCTTACTCACTGACAGCCCTGTCAAGCCCCCGCTCGCCAGTGAGTCCACCACAGCCGCACGGCCAGAAGCATGGCCAGCGTCCGAGTCTGCCGCAGCTCTGGGCATCAACCGGCGAACCCCCAGTTCAGCACATGGCTCCACAGGAGCAGAGACAGAAACCGAGCCGCTGGTTTTCGATCCCGAACCCGAGGTTCTGGAACTGTCGCGGCAAGGCGGACTAGCAGGCATCGTGCAGCCGGTAGCTGCAACAGTGTTCACAGCCCTGATATTTGTGCTGCCCGTTCTTTTCATTCTGGCCTTTGTATATCTGCCGTCGCTGCGCATCCCGCTCGCACTGTATGTAGTATTCTGCTATAACGACCCGGCCATCAGCAATGGGGTAGGGCGCCCAGCATTGTGGGTGCGGCGCTTGGGTATATGGCGGTACATCAGTGCCTACTTCCCGGTGCGTGTGGTGCTGGAGCAGCGCCTGGATCCGAAGCAGTCGTATCTCCTGGGGATTGCGCCCCATGGTATCCTGGCCTTTGGCGGACAGGTCGCAGTGGGGGCGCAGAGCAGCGCCCTGTACCGTGCACTGGAAGGGACCACAGTGCATGTAGCTGCACTCCGTCCAGCATTGACACTGCCAGTATTCCGCGACTACCTGCTGGCACTGGGAGCGATTGCATCGTCGCGAGCGGCGATCCGCGAGTGTTTGGCGCGGGGAAAGGGACACAGCGTCGGGATCGTTGTGGGCGGTGCCAAGGAGAGTCTGTATACAAACCCAGGCCACCGCAAAATCGTCATGCGCCATCGCAAGGGATTCGTGCGGGAGGCCATCATGGCTGGCGCCCCGCTCGTGCCTGTCTACGTGTTTGGCGAGAACGATATCTTCACACAAGTCATGCACCCGCCATTGCGCAGGCTCCAAAAGTGGCTGCAAACAAAAGTCAAGTTTGCACTGCCAGTGTTCTACGGCCGCCTTGGCATGGTGCCGCGCCGCTCTCCGCTGACCGTTGCCATAGGAACGCCAATCGCTGTGCCCAAGATCGAGGCACCGACTGCAGAGGAGATAGACCATGTTCATGCTGACTTCATCCTTCAAATGGGCCGCCTGTACTCCAGGTTCCAGCCCATATACGATCCGCAGGGCGGAGACCTTGTAATAATCTAGTGCTCAGCTAGCTTATCCGTGCTATTTGTAATACTACAGCTCTACTTCTTCATCCAAGTATTCTATCATGAAGCATCCGCCTGGATCTCTTTTGTGGAGCAGGACTCGTAGACCAGTACAGGCCCTGCGGCAGTTTAGTCGCAAGCCAAATGATACGCAGCGTGCTGCTGCACATAGCAACCGGAAGGAGCAGTTTGCTGTATACCGGATCGATACCAACGGCGTCCAGCATCCGCTGCAGGGAAAGTACAACACGCGGGCGGAAGCAGAGCGCGTTGCCTCCCACTACGATAGTCTTGGGCATAAGAACGGGTATTTTGTCAAGCGTGTCACTGGGGGCTAGAATAGCTGGCACATGAGCTGCTGCGGTCGCCTCATTTCCTAGATCTTTCGTCAATGGCAGACCGAAGCTCGTTCAGCATGCTGTGGATGTCGTTTCTGCGCTCGCGTGCCTCGATCTCGCCTTCACGTTTCTGGCGCTGCAGCCGGATACGCTCACTGCGGTCAAGGAGCTGCGGTTTTCCGTTAGAACTCTGCCCACGCGACTCCTGAATCGCTGGATCGGCCTCGAAGGTTTGCTCAGGAACATCCAAGTCGTTCAGGTCAAACCCCGAGTACCCTAATACGCGTGCACCATCGGGAATATCGTGTTGGTCAATCACACAGGTTGTGCTTTCTCTGCAGCTGCTCGACGCCTGTGGCCCCTCACAATCATCGCATGTCAAGACCGTCAGTGCTGCCTGGTATTGGGCATTGAGGGTGTCCAGTTCTGCTTTTAGTGATGAAAACAGCCGGGCTGTTGCTTCTGGGCTAGGTCGGTTTACCGCACCGCTGTTCAACTCCTGGCACCCATCATCATCCAGCCCAATGCTTTCACGGCAGACTATTATCTTCGCCCTAAGAGTATGCAGGGATTCTGACATGGCACTGAGCAGCCGAAGCAGGCGGGTGTTGGCTAAGCGTGCGGTCAGACTTGATATCCATCAGCGATGCCCACCTGTGCCGAGGTATGCGCCGAATTTTCAACCTTCCGTATCATGTCTACACCCTTTTCTGATGCAGCTCTGATATGTGCAAACGTGGCTAGTGTATTTCCCGAAAGTCCACTCTGCAGTGCTGCAGCGGAGTTCATCGTGGGTAAGGACAGTGGCTCGGCAGTGTCAAGCACTCGCTGCAGCCATCGCCGGCGTAGACTAAAGTGCAGCTCAAACCGGGCCCGTAGTACTTCGAGTGACAGCCCGCTGTCGCTAAAATCGGTGTGCTGGGTGAACTTTTCTCTGGTTTGCGATAGCTCAAGCAGGGTATCCTGGTCGGCAACCTGCTCAACAGCCAATGCAACCGCGTCAAACGATTCGCGTAATGCCTCACCAACTGCATTGCGTAGGTATACTGCAGTGCGTATGGCTCCACGGCCTGGTCGGGCATCAACACCAGGTATGGAGCTGGGTGATGCCCAGCGAAACCCACGAGCTACAAGCTCAGTCTCCTGTACCAACCGCAGCGCGCGCTGTATCGCTACGTCTAGCACACGGCTCGATTGACACATGTCCGTAAGACTGTCAATATACTCCTCGGCTCGACGTGCTGCTGCTATTTGACTGGAGTACTTGTGCCATGATGACCAAACGACTGCAGCAGCTATGAATGCACTCAGGGCCATCAGAGCTGGCCGTACACTGCTTCTAGTCCTGATTAGGAAAGCGGCACCAAGCACCAGTGGCCCAACCGTATGCTTGGCTATGTCGTTGCTACGACTGCTACGCGGTCTTAGATCGCCCAATTGTTGGCTAGGCATATCAGTGGCATGCTTGTGGCTAGTACGTGGCGTGTACCGTACCGCCATATGGCCAGAATTTGCCAGCGTACGCACAATGCTATCCCACAGCACAGAGCACAGCCTGGCTTCGAACTCCTTATCAGAACTATTTCCTAAAGATAGATTGCCATGCAGCCAGCTTTGTGCACGGGTCCAAAGCGATAGCGGGATAGGGGATTTCGCATGGTCTGGCCCACCGGTCGTGGTAAATCCAGCTTCATTGCTGTCAATGATCAACGATTCACCCGCTGCAATATCCCTCAAGTAATCTCCAAGTGGTGAGTCTTCAAACGCGACCAGTTCAGTCATAATGGGCAGGTGGTAATATAATATCTGGAAATAAGTGAATAACCGAAGAAGGCAAACGCTACCAAGAAAAATAGAGTATAATCCCAAATACCCAGTGGCTCACTGTTTTTGAAAACAAACGCTACCGGGATAGGAATAGATTATGGAGATGGATGGTCTGTGGCTGATTCCAACGTGGGTGGAAAATAGCTGGTATAAGTGATATGATAATCGAAATTTGAAACTGGGTATCACATTGAACCATCTGCTTGACAAAGTGACTACATCTGCTAGACTGATATTATGTAGTATCACTATCCTCAAAGCCACAGAAAATGCAGTGGTAATACACTGTGAGCACAGGTGTAAACCTATGTGTATTTGTGAACAAAAGCATGAACTAAGGAATAGTATAGGTGAGTTAGGGCAGAGGAAATAGAGGGAGAGATAGAGGGGGCAGGTAATTGTGTAAAATAAGCATATAGCTGATATCACATAATGATATATGCTATTATTACCTTAATATGACAGATACTTGAATGATAGATATCTATCATAGTTACTATAATGTAGTAAAATAACTATACCTAAAAGTATTTATTAAATAGTGAGCCCTAGCGAATCAGTTGAAGTTTTTTTTAGGATACCAAAGGAGGTTTTGGAGAACAACTATATTTGGCATCGTTTGTTTAATAGTTCATTTAATTATTATATTCACAATAGATACCACAACATTTTGGATATAGCAAATGGATAAGTATATTAATAAATGATTTCTATATCACTATTTGAATATTCTTTTACAATGTTCATCTCTTAGAATGACTGCCATATATGATCACCCCACCTTTTATTAATCGACTGTTAGACCATGTCTAACACAATGTCGAGCTGTCCTGCAAATAATGCAGCTGCCAACACCCCAGCCAAATTGATTACTGAAGCTATATTATCACACCTATCATGCCGTAATCGGTCCACGATTGAACCATGGCATGGTTACACATCAGAGTTTCTTTTTTTTTCCTTTTTCCCTTCTCTTTTCTCCCGTTCTTTTCCTTCGTCACATGCTGCTGTTCTGCTATCTTCGGTAACTGTTCCTGACCATCGCTGGCCTATTCGATACCCACGAATGGATTTGCTGCGATGCGTCTGGCTCTCAACATCTACTAACAGATGGCCTCCAATATGCATTTATCGGGTCTCTACTGACATGGGTGCGCCGTCCCGAGGTCATCTGGTAGCCGATAGCGGCAAGTATCATGCTCCGTTCGCCGAAGTCCATCCTGCCGAGTGGGTATAGATACGGCCATGGACAGCGAGCTAAATTTAGTTTCATTGTCTACTTTTCAGAATATTATCCCTCCAAAAAGTTCACTTAGTTATATTCTATTAGGTTTTCCAAGAGTCATTGTCAGGAACGTTACAATCGAAGCCGTAGATTGTCCCACAGATTTCCACGAACGAAAGAAAGAGCTTGCTAGTTTGCTACTTCACAAGATTATTCATATTTGCACGACAAGTACTAGTTATTTATATTCACAGAACTCGTTTGTTTATTTCGAGCAAGACCAGCGACTACTATGTCTTCCGCGACCGACCCAGACAGGGCTGGGGATCGACCCACTCACCAGGCCTCTCCTTCACTCCTTTTAAATTTCACATATCAGCTGTTATGCCCGTCGTTGACGATCATGAAAATGATGCTGAGATGCTCCCGGATCAAGATCAAGAAGCAAGACTATCCCGCGTCTCCCCGCCTGTCTCAGTTCCAAGTCCACAAGACCAGTCTCATAGCCATGCGACAATGGTTGACCCGATCACCGGGATTCCTATTGTCCATGCAGCTCCCAGACTCTAGTGTGCATCGGAGTATATAAGCACATATCTTGTAGATGCACATAGATAGGAGGACAGAGAACCCGACTCAGAACCCGACTCAGCTACTTTGATCTCCTGAACCCGACCTCTTCAATACATAGTATATTCGATAGTATTCCTGTATTCCGTGGAAACTCGGTAGGCTCCGATTCGAGCACTTCCTTCCACTCCGCCAATTCCCTATCACCCGAGGCAGGTGACAACACATGTCGTGTGTCTACGACGACTGGACTTGAAGCTCCGAGTCGAACCCCGGAAATGCCCGAGTGATCGTCAGTGACTGGTTATTACTGCGCCACCCGATACACCAAATATGTCATGCCGCTAGGGTAGTTCCGACTCACCCTAGGCGGATTACTCACTGAGAGTGGCGCAGCTTTATCCAGGGCCGTACGCGGCTTAGATGAGGGCTCAGTATGCGCACTCGGCGCTTGCTTAAATACCCCTTGCTGGCTCCTAAAGGCAGGGATTCCTTCTGGTTTTTCCAATATATTTTTGTGAACGCTTACTTTTGGTTTTATCAGCACATTTACAATCATCACTAGGAGAACACGCTACCTAGTTTCCTCTTCCCTGACATTTGACCTAGGTCGTTTTAGGCACGCGCCGTATTATTGAAGTATACTTTGTGGGGTATGATGAGTGCTGACAGAAGAAAGGCACCTGGCACCACAAATATGGGCTATATGCATGTATCAACCTTCCATAGTCGTGCATAAGTGCCCGACGCTGACAAATGCAGTCAAAGTCGGCGCGTTGTGTGGGGTAAAATCTCGATATAAAGAACATCGAAAGAGATCAAGGGACATCATCATGATCGAGAAAACGACATCGACGACCGACGACCGACGACGACGACCACTGGGCAGACTTGCCTATTTTTTTTTGTGATTCCATATTATTTCTATTTTTTGAGCACTGTTATGATGACGCCCACTTCTGCAAGCATGTCGAGGGCCGCAGGTGCCACAAGCCCGAATGCCCCTTAACCAACTCTGTGGAAACAGTCATCCCCAACCAGGAGGAATCGCTGTTCCCCACAGACACGACAAATGGAGCCCGACGGGGAGGAATCTAACATGATAGTGATATGCACGGCGTCTCTCCGTACGCCGTGAAGTGAGGCAGAACAGCCCGCACTACTGGAGCAAAGATAAAAGGTCATCAGCCAGCATGGCATAAGACGTCGCGCAACAGCACGTCTCCGCCTCTCCACAGCGGAGTACCCCTTCATCATTCCACTGCTCGATGGCGGCTGACACCCGTGCCTCGACGCTCTCTTTCCAGCAGGTTAAGGTGCCTGCAAGTAGTGGATTCTGGAATTGCCCTGCGCTGGCGCTCGGCCACACCTCACCACCCTCGTCGTCCACCAAGCCTGATGAGCGCCACACTCCCTGGACTCTGCGGACACTGGCACACGGCCCGGCACAATCATCAACCGCCGCTGCAACGTGGCCGAGGGCCCAGAGGGCCAGAGCCAGACCCTCTGGGGCAACAGACGCTGAGAAAAGGGGTGACGAGTCTGAATCTGGGGGTTCAACACCAGCCGAACCGCGCACACTAGCCAGGCAGGGCCCCAGTTGTCCGGTCGGCCCGGGCGCGGGAGCGCACTGCCGGTGCACTACCCCGCCCCCAATGCACCTCCCCGCACCAGGTCCCTGTTCAGCTCTGCCCTCAGACACGCCCGCGGCAACAGCTGCAAGTTTTCTTCCAACTCTCAAGGTGTTGGGCAGTGTCACCCGACTCCTCAGGACTGCACCGCGCCTAAGCCCGCGCCCGCATGCGGGACCTCGGGTCCACGTGTGCCCGGTCCGGCAGCAGTCCACTGTGGTGGCTGGTCCATGGTGCCTCGCGGCCACCGTGGTGTCCTGGACCACCTGCGCAGGAGGGCAAGCGTCTTCTAATTCAGCAAACAAGCGGAATGCAGAATTGCCTGTAGCCACACGCACACTCCGCTCTGACCCAGGGCAGGCCGGCGTCTCGTCACGCACCACGCCGCTGGCACAGGCAGGCGACCATCCGGCCGCATCACCCACAGCTTGCTGTGCCCCAACCAGGTGCATCGGAACCGTCCTACTCGCCGCAGCCCCAGCGCCAACATCCGTGGACGGACCCGTGCGGTGTGGTGCAGCAGTATCCAAACCCACCGCTCGCGTCCCACTCAGCCCCTCAGCAGCCCAATGCTGGATGCCCCCCGTTAGGAATTCCCGGCAGAGAGCCCCAACAGCAGCGTGAGCCACACCAGGGTTGCAGGCAACTGGCCAAGCTTCAAGGAGAAGTGTCGCATCCACTCTCCCCCCCCCCCCGCGTGACCCCCGGTCCACTCGGGTACAGCCTGGCATCCTGTGACCATGCGCAAGCACCTGCGCACCAGCATCATGCGCAGCGTGGCCAAACCAGGTTGTGGGGCCGCGGGTCCTTTGCAGGCCTGCATGGTGCCATCGCCCAGCATTTCCCCCGCGTCTGCAAGCTGGCGGCTGGTCTCGGGAGAGCGCACGACACCACACCAATGACAGGTGCAGTGTGCGGCGTGGTCCTTGCTGCCAGTGTCAGTCAATACCAACGTAGCCAGTGCTGCGTACACCAGCGCCAGTGCAGCCGCCACTTGCAGCTGAGCACGCCTGATGCGGGCGAGTGAGTCGTCCCCGGCGGCAGCTCCAATTTCCTGGGCTGTGTGTGGCCTGAGGCGAGCTGGCCGAGCGGGCTGGCGGCGCACGTCTCTCCCAGCCGGGAAATGCGGCGGGTGTGGGCGCCCCACTGCTGCGCCTAGCACTTCAGGATCCAGGCCCGGCAGCTTCTGCCCGCATGCCTTAAGAATCTCCCTGCAATCCACCACTGACAGACTCACACTGCAGCTTGGAAAGCCGCGCAGGCCTGTCTTTACGCTAGCGGCGCCCAGTGGCCCACGCTGGCCCAATTGTCCAGGAAGGCGTGATGAGACCCCGACGCTGCCCACTCCCTGGCAGCCAGGGAAAGAGCCTTCAGCGGTGGCCTTGGGACGCAGACAGCGCGTGGTCCAGCCAGTGGAGTGAGCCTGGTCTTCGCAGCCCGCAGTGACACCAGCACACGCCAGGCTTGCAGCTATGCTGACAGCATCACAAGCGCCAGCTGCACGGAATAGCTCGTGCTGGCGGCACACCCTCACGACTGAGGCCTTTCCCCCCGCGCTCCCAGTCCAACCCCTGAGCCTAGTGAGCCGGGTGTATCGCCGGGAAGCGACACCATAGTCACCAGCGCCCCGGCCAGCCATCCCCCCCCGCTGAGAAGGATGGGCAGGGCCACTGCTTGGGGGTCCAGTACCACAGCCTCCGCCGACCACACCCCCAGCGCACAGTTGGACGCCGGTGTGCCGGCTGCCCCAACACTGGGGCTATCAACCCACAGTGCCTTCTCCCGGATCCAGCCTGGCAGCAGGGGTTGCCGTGGCGCGCAAGCCCATTGCCCAGCAATGCCCTCAGTGTGCCAGGGTGTGCCTACGCCGCGGCCCACCACCGTCCGCCCAACCACACGGACAGCGCAGCAGCCGGAGCCTGCTGCTCCACCACCACTAGTGAGGTGGCGGCTCCCAGCAAGGCCCGCGGCTCCGTCGGCCTGTGCTAGCTTGCTCGCCACCTGCAACATACCATAGGGAGCTGGGCCTGCGCAACTGATCCCTAACGGTACGCAATACCTCACTTCTCCAGCCCGTGCGACAAGCTGCTGCACCCTGCCAGAGCGGCGGCAGCCATTCGGGGCCCCGGTTGGCAGTACGGCATTGCCGGCCAAGGCACACCAGTCCGCCAGGGCCTGAGTGCCATCCTCAGCCAGTCTTGACCCCGTGGCCAGCAGTGGCCCACAGAACGCATGTTCTGGCACTTGTTCAACCCATATGGGCACAAAACGCAGGGTGTTTCCAACCGCTCCGAGGCTTGACCCTTCTGCCTGACCAGCGTATTCCCATATGCCCCACCACTGCACCCCGGAGACCACTGCCAAACTGACAGTGGCAGCTGGCACACGCCCTGGTAACATGGCGGCCAATGAGTGTATTTTCCTGTTGGGCACTAGCCCCACACAAGTGCTAGCCCTCAGTGCAGCAAGATGCGAGTCCAAATCACTGCCAGAGGGGATCACACCACAGTGGCCTGACAACAGGGCCACAGGTAGTATCACCTGCCGCCCACTTGGCCCTGCTGGCTCTGGTGGTGTGCTGCCACCAGCAACCGAGCTAGTGGAAGTGGGTTCCCCAGAGGCCGCCCGCGTCCGCCGACACACGAGCAATGCAACCGTGTGACTCAGGGGGATCGTAGGGGCACCGCGCCCCGCCTTCCCACAGGCTGGTGGCAACCGTGAACCGTCTGATAAGAAGTGGGCCCGCCTCACCTGCCTCCAAGGCCCGACCCACCCCGAGCGCTGGACGTGGCCTGGCTCTTCAAGTAGGAGCTGCAAAACCATGCCCAAGGGTATCCACAGGTTGGCTTCAGCCGCCACCCACGCGCCACCGCACTCTGCGGCCAGCCGCCCGCGCGATCGACTCCCAACCTCACCGAAGCCCAAGCCACCCAAACAGCCATGTTTTCCACTACATGCTCCAGCCGCTAGGGGCAGTAAGCGCAAAACCGGATGCTGCGCGCTAGCACGTAATGCAGCTGCCATGATGCGTCTGTAGCGCAGAACCACTTCCACCACCCAGCCACGCAGCCCCGGGTGGCCTGGTGCTGCACCACTGACTGCTGGTGGAAGCCAAGCTGCCTCGGTCGCAGGGCGAGGTTCCTCGGTGCCTCCAGCACCGCGCATCGTGCAACAGGGGCACTCGACGCAGTCGAACGGTGCGCACAGCCTACCCTCCATGGCTATCGTCACTGATGGGCCTAGCGCAGCTTCCTCGCGGTAAGCTGTCGTGACTAGTGGCCCGAAGAGCAGGTGGCCCAGGCGCACGGGAATGCCTCCGGGGAGGGCCTGCCCACCATATAGCTGTGATGGCTTGGCGCCGCACGCCGCAGCTACCACCTCAGGCAGCCGGTAAGCCAAAACTGCCCCCGTACATAGGGCGCAGGACACCTTTAAGCCATCCACCCCAGTGCGGCCAGCCCGCCACATGCGAGCCCCTGAGCAGATAGACCACACTTGGCCAATGACAGCACTCAGCACTAGGCGTTGTGGGGCCCTTCCGAACATGCCAGGGTCACTCAGGGCCGCAACGCCAGCCTCGAAGAGTGCCCCAGTCTTAGACGGCGGGACTAACGACGGGAAGAAGCAGACGTCCCCGGAGGGTGAGCACCAGTCGTGGCACTCGAAGTCCGAGGCCAGGACTTCGGCCACACCCCCAGACAACAGGGCGCGCTCAGCTGGCCCGCCGGTGAAATACCCGGCAGCGCCGAATCCAATACCCGCCAGCCAGCCATCCATCACTGCGGCCGTCTTAACACACAGGCCAGCACAAGCCTCGCCACAGCGACCCTCCCCAAAATCTGCGGTGCGAGCATGCCCGCGTGTGTGGCCCCGGCGGCGGCACACAGCGACAGCTATGTCGTACCCACTCTCATATGGGACTCGGACCCAGCCTGACCGCAGCAGCGCATGAGGCCTGTCCAAGAGCAACCCGGGCTGATGGGCGGCCAGGCCAGCTCCGCCCACGGACTGTGTGCCGCTGCGGTGCCTGCGCGCACCCGTGCCACAAACGATCCTGACCGTTGCCCGCACCACGTTGCCTTCAGTGCACGCTGGCTGCCCGGCCCAGTGGCTTGCCGCCCACCACCGTAGAGTGGCCGTTGCTGCGGCCACAACAGGCCCCCGTGGCAAGGCTGGCCCTAGTCCCCGGCCTTCCAAGTACTCGTCAGCCCAGGCCTCAGCGGAGGCTGCACCAATCCCTGACAGCCGACCGCTAAGCTCAGCGGCCACCACGCCATGCTGCCCCAGCATACCACTACACGCCAACGCGGCCCCAGCAAGGAGTGGCCTGCTACACTCCCCAAAGCCAGTGAGACCTCCAACGAGCCTGGATCCGCCAACCGGCTGCGCTGCGCCAACCCCTGGATCTGCCCGTTCCTGCCAGGCGGCGACAATCGACCACCACACCCCCTTGCCCTCCTGGGCTGGGTGCTCGACCTGCCGGGACAGCGGTAGCCACCCACTTGCAGCCGCGCAAAGCTCCGCCCGTGCAGGCAGTGGTGTGCTCCAACCAGCCGATGCACCACATGGCACCCCTGCGGCACAGGCCTCAACAAGCGCACTGGGCCCGGCGTTGTAGCTGAATGAACTGCCATCCCGTCCCAAGTTGCTCCCACGCAACACTAGTGGGTTTTCTTGCGTTGAACGATCCATGTGGATGACCTCAGTGTCTGATATGTATTGCTGACTATTTAGAAACTCTGATTTTAAGGGTAATTCGAAAATGACTGATTGGGAGAGGATGAAACAATTCTGTGTGAAGATTTTCTTGTGATTTCATGTTATTTCTATTTTTTGAGCACTGTTATGACGACGCCCACTTCTGCAAGCATGTCGAGGGCCGCAGGTGCCACAAGCCCGAATGCCCCCCAACCAACTCTGTGGAAACAGTCATCCCCAACCAGGAGGAATCGCTGTTCCCCGCAGACACGGCACACAGCAGCTTTTACGATTGTTATGCTCAACTCAGATGAGCATGAACATGACGAAGTCCACCTTCGAGATCAAGATCAAGATCAAGACCCGGGTCAAAACAACGTCACACATGCGCAAGGTTCCACTCGGAATGCAAACACAAGATCAAGTACACTGCCTCACCTACGGAACAAGTCCGCCCTTTATGCTCCTCTTACGGATCCTAACACAGGAATTCCTATCGTATATGCTACACATAAAGTGTAGTCAAGACACTCGTTGACTACTCCATATATATGGAGAAGTCAGACCGACAGGACAAGACAAGAACAACAAGCCCCCGAATATTCCTTAACTCAGAACCTGTTTTACAATATAACCCGTTATGATACCGACCTTCTCTCCCCGACGTCTGAGCTCCGGTTCGAGCTCTTCCAATGCTAGCTCCTTTGCTAGCATATTATCACTCCCACCGAGCGATAACATGTGGGGTTTAAAAGGGGTGAAGGAGAGGCTTGATCAGTGGGTCGATCACCAGCACTGTCTGTGTCGGGCGCGTAAGACATAGTAGTCGATGGTCTTGCTTGAATACAATATCCGCGAGTAAACGGTAATAATAATAATGATAATAATAATAATGGTCGCGGGAAATTCAGATATCCTAGTGAAATAGTAAACTACCAAGCTCTTTTCTCTCGTTCGTGGAAATCTGCGAGGTAATCTACTACTTCGACGGTAACGGTCCTAACTATCTTTGGAAAACTAAATAGAAATATAACTCAGTGTGTTGTGTCTCGGGTACGATACACTTAGATAGACAGCCTCCTGCAACTGTCTAGAACACGTTTACTCTCCAAGCACCTTTCCACGATGTATATTGAACGTATGAAATATGCTGTATGAAAGAAGGAAGGAGGAATCGCCAGGTGAAAGGGCAGGTGCCCGTCTAAGTAGTGGCGCCGGTCGCCCAGAATAGTATGGCCGGCCATTGTGGCCTAAAGGTCTTGATCCATGGGTTCCTAAGATCATAAGGATTTGGAACCACACAGTGAACTGTTTCTTAACGAGATCATATACTAAAAAGTAGACAATAAAACTTGATGTTGCTCATTGTTCATGGCTGTATTTATACTCGTTCGGCAGGATGGACTTCGGCAAACGGAGTATGCTACTTGCTGCTATCGGCCGCCGGGTGACCACGGGACAGTGTTCCCTCATCCGTATAGACCCGATGTATACGCATCAGAGGCCATCTGTTGGTGGACGTCGTGAGCCAGGTACATCGCCACGAATCCATTCGTGGGCGTCAACTCGACCGGCGATAGTCAGGGGCGGTCCGTCCTGATAGCGGAACAGCGGCATGTGACGAAGAAGAGAAGAGAATTAAAAGAAAAAAAAAGGAAGACAAATAAAACTCCTTAATGTGTAACCATGTCGGGGTCCAACTGTGGACCAATTACGACATGACAAACAACAGCAGCTTGTAAGATGATTATCTCGTGATGAGCGCTTCAAATCCGCAATGGTCCAGTGGCTAGGATCCGACGCTCTCACCGTCGTGGCCGGGGTTCGATTCCCCGTTGCGGAATTTTTACTTTTGCTCCTTGCGAGTCGAATCTCTTGTTTTTATACTTCTCACCCTTGTTGAAGCGGTAGCTAGGTCTATCTGGTGATATAATATCACTCTTTCCTATTTCATCCTTTGTTTTTGTAACCGTTATTGAATCCGTTTCTTGTCTTTACCATTTATCATGCCATGTAGTATCATTGTTATTGTTACAGATATTTCATGCGAAAGCTGGTTAGGATTATCTATATTAGTTGAGCTCGCATCGGAAGCGCCACAAGTCTAGTATATCTATGTTGTAACATGTACATAGAACTATACGCCATATTGGTGGGTCTATTATTAAGCCGGTATCAGCCTACTGAATAGTGCACCCGCTCCTTTATACCATTTTTGGATTCCGTTCACTATTCCATCAGGCAGTGGTACTGCTTTTTGCCAAATCTGGGTGCCAGCATCAATGATGTCACCAATGACGGTGGCCAGGGCCACGCCTGTGATAACCGAGGCTCCGGTCCAGCTGCGAACAATAGCAGCTCGGATTCAGACTTCTGAAGGACAATGTTACATGGCCGTGGCACGAGCATCTTCGATTTTAGTATGGCCAAATCCAACTCCTGTTGGTTTCCTTTTGTGTTTTCCAAATAAACCCCTTCCAAAACTTTAGCACCATATATATCAATAAGCACCAACAATAGTTCTAAATCACTTTGAGATTTTGTGGTTTTGTATTCCTGGAGCACATTTATAAATCGAATTATATAATCCCATGTGCATGTTTTCGGCACAAGCACGCAAGGGCAGCCGTGGTATTTCCATTGTGATGGTGATGGTGCAATGTGCATTTATTGCTTGGATCCATAGTATTCAGTAATTACAATTAGATTTATTGATTAATATTTCGTCGATGGAGTTTTTTTTGCTGATCTGTCTGTCTTGCTGTTAACTGACACTTCCCTTTTCCTCTTAGCAGCCTCAGCATCGATTTCTTGAGTTTTCACGTATACAAACGCGCCTGGAGAAAAATGTCCAATTCAGACGAGAGAATGGAGGTGGCATCGACAAAGCCGGCCAAACGCAAAACGGCGGCTGAGATCAGACATATCCATAAGGAGCAGCAGCGGATTGCTCGTGAGGGTTCAGCCGAGACGCGGGAAGGGGCACACGCATATCTCCAGCAATGGGAGGAGGAGCGCGATGCATGGAAGTTCAATAAGGCGAAGCAAAATTGGATTATTCGGCATCTGTACGTCGCAACGCAGATACCCGAGCCCCAGTTTGCCATAGCCTTAAAGTACTTTTCGGTGCTGACTGGAAAGCTGCGCGACAGCTTACTAAAGGAGGCGAGGCTGGTGCGCGACCCAGTCACAGCCGATTCGCCGGAGCTACAGCAGCTGAGATCGAAGGCTCTCGGTGTGCTGCCGTCGCATGTTACCAAGGCACAGGCAAACTCAATCAAGAAGGCGAGGCGCGAGGCACGAATCGCCAAGGCATTGAATGAGAGCGAGAGCGGGGCAACAGCGAAGGAAGAAGAGGAGTCGGATGGTGATAAAGAGGAGTCGGCAGTGGCTGTTTCCGAGACCGTAATCAAGCGGGCTGAGCGCATGATCGAGGTGTTAACCAGCCCGCCGGAGAATACTAACGATGAGGGCAAGAACAAGAAGGACAAGAAGGACAAGAAACGCAAGCACAAGGATGAAGATGGCTGCGCAGACGGCGACTCTGAGAGAAAAAAGTCAAAAAAGTCCAAGAAGGAATCAAAATAGCTAACATTTTATTCCGTCAACTAGACGTGTTGCAGCAAACATATCTAATGAAGCCTAGCGCACATAGAGATCGCGGTCCTTCATCATCCAGACGATGGAGGTCAGTGCAACGCAGAATGTGCTGATGACAGGGCCAGGGAACCGGACAGACTTGTAGACGACGGTCTCGGAAACAAAGTGCGTGCAGGCAATGACATACGACCAAAAGGTGATGTCGTAGACCATAGCATTGTTCATGTTGTAGGCGCACTGGTACCGAAGGATTGCCGACAGGGCAGTCCATGCAGCAAAGACATGCGATGTCAGCTGCGTTACCTGCTCGGGCTGGCGCGAGTAGATGCGGCGGGTGAGGCCGAGCGGGGAGAGAATGCACTGGGCAGTATTGAACACCGAGAACACTGCTGAGAGCAAAATGAACTTTGGGAGACCGCCAACAGGGAGCGCAAACATTGTCGTTGTTTGGAGGTACAAGTTGTAAGGCGTTGGGAGAGAGAGCGAAAGAATGACTGAGGCGCTTGGTCTGTCAAGGGTCTGGAAAATCGGCTGTATGCAAGCGACACAGTCAAGTGGTTATGGACGATCAAGAAAGGAAGGAGCAGCAAACAAAGCTTGGCTTCTTGGCGCATTTTTCTCCTTTACTTCTTCCTCATTTGCGGCTCATTCCCATCACCCTTCTCCTTTAATCACTTCCTGCATTCGAGCTTTCCAGCCGCAACGACATAGCGAGAGAAGCAATACGACCATGGGCTTTGTTGAAGAACTCAAGACCGGAAACTTTAGTCTCTATGGGCAATGGCAAGTGCTAAGCAGGCGGCCAGAGAGGAGCATGGAAGGAGGAGTGCGAACCAAACACAGGGAACTGGAACACTCGTATACTAATGCGATAATTTCTCCTGTGTAGGATGGCGCTATTGTCTGGAGTGCGTAAGTTGTTGCCGTACATACCCGGCACATTGTGTTTTGCAAGAGGTTTGCACTGGCACTTTCTGAACGTGGTAACTAACCGCTAGGAGGTGTATGTCGTTTGCTGTAGTTCTTATTGTCCTCGGTGGGGTGACGTTCTTGTTCCACATTGTGTACTCGATTCTGGCGATCGTGTTTGGCGCCATCTGCATCCTGATCGAGATTCCGTTCTTAATGAAGCTGTGTCCGACGGGGCCGGCGTTCGACAGGGCGTTCGGCGGGCTCAAGAACCATTGGTGGCGGTTTGTTGCATACTTGGTGTAAGTAGTTCTGCGCATAACGCAGGGGGTTCGCCGTATGGTCTGTCGCTGACGCTGCTGGCTTTGTAGGTTTGCGATTGTGATGTGGTCGTCACTAGCCAAGGGCGGGGGCGTTCTGGCAATTGGGGCGGTGACGATTACGTTGGCGGCGGCGTGCTACTTTGTCGCCGCAGTGAAGAAGCAGGCCAAGGTCACATCGGCGATGTTTGGCGGCGGCAACGAGAGCCATCACGGCTTTGACACCACAAACGCGCTTCCGATCTAGGAATGCAGGCTAGGGGCAGGCAGGACTACCGCTGCTAGCCATGTGGGCCAGTGTTTGGTTTGCACGTGATCGGGCGGACGTAATCAGGGGCATGGGAGCGTGGTCGCTGCTTCCTGTCTCTCACCTCTTTCTTCTTTTAAGCTATACTTATCTTGTTCAAGCCTTCTCTATCGATTACACCTATGAAACTTTATTCTTCCGGCCTTTTGGCGCTGGTGGCAGCCATGGCCTCGCTTGCCGAGGCATCACCAGCTCAGCATGTCTTTCAGCCGCACCTGGGCGGTCTGACCAGCCACGTGCCCAGCCGCCTGATGGCTTCGGCCCGCGAGCCGACTGCCAGCCTCCTGAGCGACGCCAAGTGGTCCAAGGTCGAGACCATGGCAGCCCTGCCTAACTACCAGCTGCGCATCAAGCAGCCCCATCTGTGTGCAGCCAACACAACGCAGTACAGCGGCTATCTCGACACCGACGACGACAAGCACTTTTTCTTCTGGTTCTTTGAGGCGCGCAATGCACCGCGTGACGACGCACCAGTGATTCTGTGGATGAACGGCGGTCCTGGCTGCAGCTCGTTCACTGGACTTCTAATGGAGCTCGGCCCGTGCCGCGTGGACAAGGGCGGCAAGTCGGCATCCGACCATGTGTATGGATGGAACGACAAGGCCCACGTGATTTTCATCGACCAGCCGCTCAATGTCGGGTACTCGTACGGCAAGGACGTCTTCAACTCGATTGCCGCTGGCAAGGACGTGTACAACTTCTTGCAGCTGTTTTACCACTCGTTCCCCGAGTACGCCAGCAGCGAGCTGCATGTGTTTGGCGAGTCATATGGTGGCCATTATGTGCCAGCGACTGCCAAGGCTATCCATGAGGCCAATCTGGAGTTCACCTCGAAGCAGGCGCTCGGTGCACTGAGTGTTGCCGAGAAGGAGAAGCGTGTCCTGCCGCTGACATCTATTGGTGTCGGCAATGGCCTGACGGACCCGCTGACGCAGTACCGGTACTACGGAAAGATGGCCTGCAACTCGACATACCCGCCTGTTCTCCGGCAGGACCAGTGTGAATCTATGGACAGCAAATACCCGACATGCGCACGGCTCATCGAGGCTTGCTACAAGTGGCAGAACTCGTTGGCGTGTTACCCGGCCGAAATGTACTGCAACAGTATGATGGTCGCGTACCAGCAGTCAGGCGCCAACCCCTACGACGTGCGGATTCCGTGCGAGGGCGGCAACCTCTGCTATCCTATCATGTCCGACATTGACGCGTTCCTGAACGACCCGGCGGTGCAGCAGGAGCTGGGGTCTGATGTCTCCAAGTTCGAGTCGTGCAGCCAAAAGGTTTACAGCGGGTTCATTCTCAACGGCGACTGGATGAAGCCGTACCACCGCGAGGTCCCACCGCTGCTGGAGGCTGGAATCCGTGTTTTGATATATGCTGGTGATGCAGACTGGATATGCAACTGGTACGGCAACAAGGCGTGGTCCGAGGCGCTGGAGTGGTCCGGCAAGAGCGGGTTCCAGGGTGAGAAGGACAATGATTGGGTCGTGGACGGCAAGGCTGCTGGCGAAGCACGCACACACAAAAACTTTTCGTTCCTGCGTGTCTTTGGTGCCGGGCACATGGTGCCCTACGACCAGCCCGAGAACTCGCTGGACATGATTAACCGGTGGATCGCGAACAAGCCCTTCTACTAGCAATTTTTGCAGCTCCAAACGACATTCGCGGGCTTGTTTGCTAACCCATGGCACTAGCCAAAGTGCAACTGTCCCCGTGAGCAACTGCAATCGCTTATCTGGCAGCTGAGCGGTGAGCGTGACAAATACATAGTTCCATACTAGAAATACTCTGCTCGCGATGCGAGCTCGGCTGCTAGTCAGCATGGGTTGACACGTCGATAAGGGCATCACGGCGAACCGGTCATTTGAACGTGTCAGATGGTTGTTGGTGCAATGTCGATCATGGACATCTCCCATCTTGATGGCCTGCTCTGCGTAGGCGCTTCAGCGCTGGCTCGCTGCTGCTGGCAACAGAATCGCCTGCTGCTGCACGCCTCTTGCGCGACCTCTTTGTTGCAGGGGTGGTGCCAGAAGTATCGGCAGCAATGGCCGTAAAGCGACGGAACCGTTCAGGAATACTGCCTGAATCACAGAGTGACTGGAAAATGAGTCTGAAGTTTAGAACTGCTGCGAGATCGCGGTTCAAGAGCCGAGACGAATAGGCTCGCCTGTATTGTGCCATGGCCCGCTTACATGACTCGCTTGTACAGCGGAGAAGGCCATGGCACTTCACAGTTGGGTTCTTCGATCTCTGGTAGGGCCGCGGATTGGGAACATGCCGGAATGTCTGCAGTGACTTATCGCAGCAGAACGGGCACACCGATGATGTCCGGAATTCGTCGATCAGATAGACTTCAAAGCCATGGTGCTTGAACTTGTCGCGCCATCCCTTGCCACGAATCGGCGCATGGTGCCGGGCCATCGGCGCACTCCAATTGCCCATGATCAGCACTGGATCTGGACCGAACTTGCTCCGGAGTTTCGCGGCAAGCCTGTGGTCTGCACGGGCCTGGTTCATGAATGAATCAAGGCGCAGCTTGCGGTGAAGCGGGTACACCTTGGGACTGGTCCCGACACCCGGATGGGCCTTCCAGCGCCTCTGATGCTGCTTGTTTGACTTAGTGGGCTGCTGCTCTAGTAGCCTTCGCGCTGTCATCGTGTTGGCATAAAATGGTGCTAGGACACACCGCACAGATGCACGGGCAGCAACATAGGCACGGAATTTTGCTGGGCTAAGGGTCCGGCAGCAGTGCTTGGAAAGCTCTGCCTCTGCTCTGCGGACAGCATCTTCTGGGACTTGATCCTTTGTAGCCTGACGAATCCTGTCATAGTGGCGCAACTTGAGCTCCTTGTTGCGCTGCTGCCGTGTGTAGCGGTAGAGCATTTTTTCACCCTCCTTCCCATTGCTGCTATTTTCGTGCATCATGTATAGCAAATCGCCCCGACCTGGATCGATGAATACACAGCGGCCTTTCAGATTCTGCAGCTCTGGCTGTGGGATCTGGTGGATATAGCGACAGTCAGCTATAGTACTGCCTCCCACAGCATCACCTCCTGCAACATCGCCTGTAGCATCGCCTCCCACAGCATCGCCTGTAGCATCGCCTCCTGTAGCATCGCCTCCCACAGCATCGCCTGTAGCATTGCCTCCCGCAGCATTGCCTCCTGCAGCACCAGCCTTAGGTACCTTGTCTTGTAACAAAATGCATATCGTTACACCATCTGTTGTCGCCATTCCGTGGAATTTTCTATCACCATGCGCCTTAAATGGCTTCGATGTTAGATCTGCGACCCGGCCCCACACATCCCACACAGGTTGTGTGATCCCTTGGACCGGGTCGTGTGCACAGACTGGGGGTGCTGGTGCATATGCATTGTTAAGTGCTGCAACAGTGTCTGCTGCTGCCGCCGATGCACCAGCAAGTGAATCAGCCGCTACTGCTGCAGTTGCTGCAGTGGCCTCTGTTGCATCCGATGGCATCTTCGCTGCTTTGCGTGCAGCCTTCTTGGCCAATTTTTCGCTTTTTTCTGCTGCTTTCCTTGCCTCTGTTGCTGCCCTCTTTGCTGCGTTGATCTTGGTAACCTCCTCACGTGTTTTCGAAACAAACACCTGCTTGATTATTTGCTTGTCTAAGCGCACATGGCCTGGGATCCATGATGTCCGCAGAGGCAAGCATTGAGGGGGAGACTTGCCAAGCTGCTCATTCTCGATAAGCTGGCATAGGCGAATGTATGCACGCAGATGCTGAAGTGGATTTACCTTGGCATCATAGTATCGGCTGTCTTTGGCGAATCTGTACTTGGCACCATAGGCATTAAGGACTGGTGCCAGCTTGTTGTAGATTGCAAGCATCGGTGGGGTGAGCACACTGAGATCAGGGTGTCTAGAGGCAACTGCCTGGCGGAGCTTCTGTGTGGGTGTATAGATACACACTTGACATGCATTATTGAACTCAGCCTTGGACACATTGCCCATTGTACTGTGCAGTGTGTTTTTGCGGCTGCGAATATCAATCAATTTGGCCAGAATCCGCTGTAGGCAACTGCCATAGTGCAACACAATGTTGTTCTTGTATGCTGTCATCAGCTCGGTATCCACGTATGTCGCTACCTGATTCATTTCACGTACGCCATGTAGCTCGATATCGCCATTATGTAATAGATAATCATAAATATGATATCTAACTACATCACCGAAATCTGCGCTCGACAGTTCTGACCTGTCCTTCCGGTTGACAAAATCCTCGGCAGATATGACAGTCTTCGCCTTCAGGTTGCGATAAATAAATAAATAAATGGAACGAAACAACCCCTTTTTCACAAATATTGCAGGGTCAAAGGCATCATCGTCAGCTAGTTGATGGAGTAATATCCATCGTGCAAGCATGTATGTATGCTCTTTGATGATATTGACGCTGTGTACAAATTGCTCTAGGCGGGGCAACATAGAATCACGGAAGCCAATACCACCAAGTGATGTCTTTATGACAGTAGTGCTGCGGGTAATATCCATTTGAGAAGTTCAATAGGCAAGTAAGAAGAGAAATGATGCTGTTCAGTTTTGCTGTATTGCGTGTGCATAGCATTAAGAACTTTTTATTAAAGATTTTCTGGCTTGCATGGTTCTTGGGGCCCTTAGCACTGATATAGTCTCTTGAATCAGTCTATACATACTGGGTCCGTTGTGACCCAAATACTACCGCTTACGCATGTTCATAAGACAAATTAATTTATAAAATAAACCCACAAATATTGCATAACCACCAGAAGAGCTATATGGTCTTATTCAATAGGTGCTCATAAATAAATATCATAAGAGTGTTGCGCAGCCGGTGATGACCACCATGATGATGGCATGGAAGTTATCAGGCCGACCGACAATGAGAGCAGCTCTTGCGCTGAACCAATGGAGATATATAGTGGAGACCTGTGACCACTACA